TGGAGGGGCTGGGGGGCTGCCCCTCCCTCCTGCGCTCTTTACTGAGTCCCCTCCTTGACAGTCCCCTCGCTCCTCCAGTGAGAGCCCCATCCCTGTGACCCTCAGCCTGGCACCGCCAGCCTCCGGAGCTTGGACGGGAGCTGCCAGGCCCAGCTACCCCGGGACTGGGATGTGGAGATGGGGCAGCAGCCCCAGGGTGCCCGCTTAGGTCCCCAAACAGGCTGCCCGCTTGACCTCGGAGCAAAGGCACTTTGCGTCCTCAGAGACTGGGGCGAGGGGCGCCAGGTCAGAGGCCGGCCTGCGCGGAGCCGACTCCCGGGAGCCTCGCTCCTCGCTGGAGGGCTGGGGCCGGGTGCGGGGGCGCCTCCTGGGGCCCGGGCCACGGCCTCCCGTTTGCTGGGAAACGCCCAGTGCGTGTGGAGAAGGCAGTTCCCGCCCAGCACCTGAAAACTCAGGCCCAGGCAGTGAGCCCGAGGCCCGGGAAGGCGTCCTGTTCCCAGCGAGTGGAGGGCACGCGGGGCTGGAGCTCTGCGGAGGGAGTCCCTCTCCTCTCTCTGAAATGGGGCTGTTTCCTGAGACCCTCACACCCGCCACCTGCACGTGGAAGCGCAGCTGCCGCCTCTGGGCCGGCCCTGCCCGTCGCAGCGGCTCCGGGCGCCGGGCGAGTCCCCGGGGTCAGCCCGCGGGCTGCGGCTTATTTCATTTTCATAATGAACAATGTTTCAGGAAAATGTGACATAATGCATTTTGTGGGAACACATTTTGCAGCTTATATCTCACCTTGACTGGGAGTTATATGGGGTGTAGTCCAACGTTACTTTTTATACAAAATCGGATATTTTTGAAAAAAGACCAACACTTTTAACCCTGTCAATTTTTTTCAATTTCAAATATTAAAAATTCTCATTGCCTAAAAATGCCAATGAATCTGCACATTTGGTAGAAATCAAAGGGAAGTTGGGAAAGGCATGTTATTGCATTCAGAATAAATGTACCATTTTCAAAGTAGAATCGATGGAAGTCCATTCCTTCCACTAAGTTGCCTAGTGCTTCAGGTTCAAAAGCAGTGAGGCCCGGGTCACAGATTTTTCTGTAGGAAAATAATGAAAATAGTCAATGAAAAAGTTCATGTACTTTGTTGTTTCACACATATCCACTCTGGTTTACCCAGTAGTCAGTGAAGGAAAATCTAAAAACACCAAACTATAAAGCTTCTGTCCAGGGCCTTGGCGGGCTGGTGAGGCGCAAACCCCACCCACGCAGTCAGGGTGGCCCCCACGGGTCCCAGCAGGTGGCAGGGGGAACACTCCAGGAGCCTCCTTTTAAAACTTTCTATTGTTTTATTGCGAAGGTGAGTTCCCCAGGCCTTCCCCAGTTTCTCTCTCAACTCAAATTCATTATTTTTAAATGCTATCGAAGTCCAACTTCCTCTTTAAACCTCTATAAGCAACTCCTGCTCTAAAATGAAATACTTCTGGAATAATTTTTGCATCTTCTACATTACAAAAAAAATCTATGTTATGAGTGATTTGAAAGCAGGCACCACATCCCACACTTCCTGGCAATGTGCACAAGCTAAATTATCTTGTTTCTAAAGTTTTTTTAACTTTTAAAGTGAAATTAATGAGCTGTTCAAATGCACTTATAAGTTTTATTTTTAATCCTAGAAAAAGGATTCAACAGAGAGATACATGATTTTAAATACATTTTCAGAGAAAGAAGGTTTGAGCTGGGCTTTTACGATTGTGTAGGAGTTTTCCTGGGGAGAGGGGGTGGCAGGCAGCCGAGGGCAGCAAGAATCGTGGCACAGGGCTGAATTGTGGAGTGTGTTTGGGGATGACTGTGGTTTGATATGAGCAGCAGTGGGTATGTACAAGGTCCCATGGAAACATAGGCAAGGACAGTTCCTTGAGCCGTAGGACATAAAATCTGGATTTGAAGTATTTGTGGAAGTTCACAGAGTAGATAGAAGAGTACAAATGGAAGGATTTTGGACTATTTAATATTCTGCTGGGTCAACATCTAAATTTCATATGATAATTCCCCATGTGGGAAGGAAAACTTTTTAACTATTCAACAGACATACAAGTTTCAAAAGGGAAACTCACTATGGTTCTTGAAAGTACTATTCATAGAATGCTGAACTGGGTTTAAGGACACTTTAAGTAGAACTTACGATTAAAATAGAGTCACAGTGGTGACTCTGTGGTAAGGAAAACCTCAGGGGGGGGTGTGGAGGGACTCTGAACTTGGCCTGACTTTCTGGGGGTCTGGGATTGCCAGCCTCTCCCTAAGGAGCATGCTGGGAAGACCAGTGTTCCTGCCGTGACAGGAGTTACTGAGCCCAGCGAGGACAACACTGGGGAATCGAGCTCTACTCCCCACCAGCATGGAGTCCCGAGGATCACTGGCTATGACCATCTTTTCAACCTGTTCATCTGTCCTTCCTCACACAGGTGGTACGCACATGCACGTACATATCCCTCTCTGTAACAGCAGCATGTGGCCTGTGGGTGCCATGCTCTGGACAGGGGCTCAGGCTGGCAGCCCCCTCGAGGGAGAGCCTGTGGGGCTGGCCCTGGGTAACTGTGGAGTCAGGCCGGTCATAGGCAGGGATCAGTGAGCTGAGGTGATTCGAGGAACTGCATTATTAAAACACCTCCCTCTCACTGTCCGAGCAACAGGAAGTCCTGTCTTTGCCACTTTTGCCTGCCCACCACCACTGTTCCACAGGGGAATGCTACTGCAAAAGGAGACTTAAAAGAAAGTACTATTCTCATGTTTGCAGAATCATCTGGGCATGACAAAGTCACATTAGCAGGCGGATAAAGGGCAGGCTCTACACATGGGGCGACAGGATGGAGTCTGGGACCAGAGTGCTGTCCGAGCCCCGCTCCTCACAGTACCTCCTTCCGAGCACACTGAGGCCACCTTACAGAGCCAATAACACAAACATGCATGTGTCTGTATGCGCGCACACACATGCACACACGTAACGGGAGGAGCCGCCGGGGACTGACTTAGTCTCGCACGGCTCTGCTCTTCCACGTTTCACGCGTGGCTGTCTCCTTGTAGCTGATGATGAAAGTAATGCCCTCTCATTACATACAACTTGGAAAGAAGCAGAAAAGACCCAGTTTCTTCTCCCAAAGCAACATCTTATTTTCCTTTTCGAAAAGAACTTGGCAATTTCACTCCATCATTATGCCTTTCCTTAGGGAGCTGGAATCATCCTGGACACACTTTCAATCCTGCTTGGCCTCAGGTGAGCACAGCACAAGCTTCACAGCATCACGCTGGGTCCCCAGCATCCCAAACACACCACAGACCCTCACAGCGACTATGAGGCTGGACACAGAGGTGGTTTTCAATTTCTCAGGGTTGTGAATATTGCTTCATAAGCATCCTTCTGTGTAATCTTTGTCTTTTTTTTAGATTCAAAGCCCATGGCCATGTTTCACTTTCATAAGAATCACAGGGTGAAAGTAACATGAACTTCATGCACCCGCCCTCACTCCAGCCTGACACGGCCACGTGGACTTCATGCACCCGCCCTCACTCCAGCCTGACACGGCCACGTGGACTTATACACCCGCCCTCACTCCAGCCTGAAGCAGTCTCGGCGAATGGGACGCTTCTTTCAATCTCACCCACTCCCTAGTAGTGAACTTCTGACACGTGCTACTGTGTTTCCTGTGTTTTGCTGTCCCTCAGTTTCCTTACTCTCACAGCCTCGGCCTTTTAGCTCCTCGCTGTGACTGCTCCCTCTGCTTTAAACTCAGACATCTTCCAACCAGAGACCAGACTCCACCTCTCTTGCCTTTCAGTCCTTTATTCCTGAGGACCGGCTGGTGGCACAGGGAGGCTAAGACTGATTTTCATCTTCAGCGAATAGGAAACTCGTGAAGAGATGAAGACACGGTGGAGCTGAGCTGAGCTGAAGGGGAAGCAGCCTGACGTCACCTGCACCCCTTTCCAGCACCCCTCTTTCCAGTGGGCGTGGCCTGTGCTCCCTGTCTTGGTCTCTGCCTGTGGAGGGCGGGGCTCCCGCTCCGACACAGAAGCCGCCCTGTGGAAGCCCTGTCCTCTCACCAAAGTCCTGGACAGGCTCACCTTCCCCTGGCGGGTAAGCTCCTCCCACCCTGGACAAAGCTACCGACAGGTCAGGCCCGGGGTCAAGCACAGGTGAACTCAGTGTGCTGCGGCCCTCGCACAGGGCACGCTGCCTCCGGGGAAGGCAGCCGAGCCGCACTCACGTGTACGCCTCAAAGTCTCCGTTGTTGATGGCTTCGATCAGCTGCTCGGTGACTTTGATGATCTCCTGCTTCCGAGCTAAAGGAAAAGGGACAGAGCTGGTGAGAACAGGGAGGGGACAGAGCCGCATACAGCATTTCTAAGGACCTATTCCGCAACACCGCCATTTCCCCACACGAGCGCCGGCCCAGACGCTCCCTCGGGAGCCTGCTGCTGTCCCCCACCCGTGGCTGGCTCCTCCAGAGCCTGTGGGACCTTCTCAGCCTCTCCGGACCACAGGCTCAGGGCCCTCCCGTGACCCCAGGGCATGGCCGTGCTTGTTGGAGAACAGCGGCCAAAGGTCCAGGCTGTTCTTAATTTGTGCTTGTTACCTTCAGCACTGATCTTTACCTAAGACTCTGCACTTTTCCTCTGCAGCTCAACCACCTCCACAGAGGACGCCAACCCTGCAGCTGCCACTGTGTAGAAAAGTGGCCTTCAGGGAACTGTCCACACAGTTCAGTGCTGTGGCCATAGCAGCTGCTCAGATGGACGTCCCTGCAGCTGTCAGCGCTGACCCCATGCAGGACTGCCCTGTCCCCAGCCCACAACTGCATAGTTATTAACAGTTGACTTGGCTGGAATCCCACTACTGGGTAAATTCTTTCCTGATGACGCCTACCCCACGTGCCTGTCCCGTTTCTACAGGCCGACAGTGTGTCACTCACTTGCTATGACAACATGCTAGATCCCATGACTTTAATACATCACATGATCACTGTTCAAAGTGGTCAAACTCTGCTCACCATTGCTCCTCTGGCTCTGACCGTATTCTGGAGGCCGCCACATGCCCTGACGTTCAGACCCGGGAGGCCGAAACTGAGCTCAAGCACCTTCCCCACAAGCCTGCTCCAGGAACAGCCAGCTACACCCTCCCCGCAGCCCAGAGGCCAGGTTCGTCTTCCACCACGGGCGTGGCTCCATCTCCCGATGCCTCGCTGGGCTCCCAGTCCCAAGGCTCTTCCTGCTCTTCAACGCCAGGCAGGCGCCTTCCTCTCACCCCCCTCTCCTGAGGAGAGTCCTGCAGGCTCTGCTCCCACGTTACCACCCTGCCCTCGCCGTAGTCCTCTGGTCATGGAGACAAGCCCTGAGCTGCTTCACGTCAGACTCCTGACCGTGGACTGAAACTGCGGCAAACTCCAGGCGCTATTTCGTGATTGTCCAGATAGAGGACTGACCACCAGGCACCGGCGCATCCTGTTTACGCAGGAATTTTCCAGACTGTCGCCCACAACCCACCCAGAATCGGCAAGCACTCCTTACCTCTGGAGTCTACACGTCCCAGAACCTTCTCGGCTCCACTTCCTCCCACCACCCCTCACCTACGGACGTGAACTCTTTCACCACAGCTCACATCTCTCCTCCCCGAACCTGCTGAATGAGGGCAGGGCGCCCAGCAGCCCAGGGCTGGACCAGCCTTCGCCTCGGCCCTGCTGCTGGTGGTTCAGGCTGGTGCCCCAGGACAGTCCTCCTCTGCCAGCACATGGCTATGAACCTTTTGTTCAGGATGCCTTTGGTCTCAAAGGTTCTTGTTTAACAATAGGACGTTCACGTATCTGACCGGGACTGGATCACTTTCTACCTTCAGCACCCAGGGCTGAGTGAATGTTTGTTAACATGTGCACACAGGAACAAATAAAAACCGGGAGACACCCCACGTAAACCGTACATTTGAGAACACCAGATAAATGCCAAACGCATCGTGATGCGATCAGGTCGGTGGTCTGGGTGTGACTGCCCCTGAAACACACCCCCGGCCTCGCACACCTCAGATCAGTAGAATGACCGCCCCATGCGAGGTCACAGGCTCTCGGGTGCTGGAGGAGGTCGACCAAGATAAGTCAGGGGTATTGAGTCGAGTCGGTTTAAAGCTAGTTCAGGACAGCTGAGTGCAGAGCAAGCCTCGGGGCCCGAGTTGAGCCTTCGGTTCAGACTCCGGATCTGTCGGTTTGCTGGGGGATCTACCTGCTAGCACACCTCACGCAGGAGGGTGTCACACTGACCTCTTCATGGGCCCTGCCTGAAGACCTGCTTACTCAGTGAGGAGAGTGACAGTGGGACGGGTGGCTCGGCCTTTGGGTGCGCACGCCTTCGCAATTCTGCTACTTCTGTTTGTCATCATGGGAGTTTAACTTGCTTCTACGTCTGAGTTGCCAGGTGCTGGGCTGCGAGACTTAAAGGACGGACACGGGCTTCTCATCACACAAGTGCAGAGCTGGGCCAGGACGGAGCTCTACTTGGCCCAGGGCTGCCTGCTGCTCAGTCAGTGCTCTGCATCCTGCCCAACCATGTACCTAACTCAATATTTTGAAATCGTAAACTTAAATGAAGCACCTAAAATGCCTTTGAACTTACCAAGCGGGGTGACTGACAACTTAATTACTGTAATTAAGGACTGTCGGTAGTTTTACACCATGGTCCCAGGCATGGGTGTCAGTAGGTTTATGGTCTTTCCACGCTGCTCTTAGCCAAATCAACTCGTGGGTGGTCATCATCTCAGGGAAACACAGATTAGGGGGGAAAAGGGGCCCAACAGCCCAGCTACGTGTGGAGTTTCCTGGGCAATTAGCGGCTTGTTTCTTAGTGGCTTTTATTTCATAAGTTTGACATACTAGTTAACATTTGGGACAGTAATTTCCATTATTTTGATTTTCAACTAAACCAGTTGACTGGTTTAGTAATCTGTAATATTTTATTTAAATATAAGGCCTGGAAATCACCAGCTGTTGTCCATAGTTTAAAAACACAGCAAAGAATACAGCGTGGAAAACCAGATAAAACCTGTATATGTAATCAAAATACTAATAGAAAGAAAATTATGTTTGTGTCTTCAGACAGGCCTAGTTCCTATTGTTAGTTATCTGAAACGAGCGTGTTTTTCGATGCACAGGGCGCCGGCCGCACTGGGGCTCCTGCGCGGTCTAGTCGTACCTTTGATGTCTTCATCCTCGATCGTAGTGTTGGAACTCTCCGTGGATTCCTGTTGAGAAGAAAACACACTTCAAGTCGCAAACGTGAACGGCCCGGCTTTTCTTCTGAGAAATCTGGCGAGAGATGCTCATATCATGCAAACTCCTCAGCAGGCCGTGTGCACATCTGACATGCAAATGACAGGCACATTCTGTGGCTTTAACAGAAACAAAATGCCAAACTCTACAAACACTGGAAAAGGGAGCACTCTGGCCGCCTGAGCTCGGGGGCAGGATGCGCCTGCGACCGGCAGACACAGCCTAAGTGTGCACCTTACATTAGGAACTGTCCTGGGATGTGTCTGGGTTACGGTGCCCCCTTGAGGTGTGCTTTTTCTACGTATTTACGAGAAACTGACTGTATTAGCCTAATGAATCTGAACCTGTAACAGAGCAATTTTTATTCTCAACCTGTTAATCAGTAAATTGCCCCTTCTATGGTTAAGGGGCCCACCTAGCACTGGACTCAGTCTGTCCATCCGCCCCACTCCTACAGACAGAAAGCCTTTCCCAGCTCCACCGGATGCAGGCTCAGATGTGCTCTCAGAAACATCCACGCTGTGATCAGCACAGTGGGATTATAAGGAGTCATTTACTTTCCAGGACAAGCAGTTTTCACTCATTTCTCAATTAGAGCAGCTATTGTTGGTAAGAGCCCGCTCCTCGAGTAGAGACAGAGCTGTCTCTCCGTGAAACTCCACAAGCAGGTAGAGCTCAGGAAGCACACCTGAGAGGACACCGTGACGACCAGCACTGAGACTGGTCCTTAAAATGGCCTGATACATGTCCCCATTAATAGTGTATTTTCCAGCAAGTAAATGTATTAATATTCATGACACAATTTTCGACTTCAATGATTAAAGACTACAGACAAAAAAATTGGAAACAAACTTCCAATCAATAGCTATGTGCACAGTGACGAAGAACAGATTTTGCAAAACGATGCAAATACCAGCCAGTGTCTTCAAAAAAGGGATCAATGCATATAACGATCACAGAGAATAGTTAAACCAAAGGGACAGACAAATCAGAGGTGTGTCCAGAGTCTCCGTCACAGAAACCCAGTCTTCATGCACTGACTGTGGCTGGCGCTCACTTCAGCGCTAGACGAGGGGAGCAGGCACCTACGCACGGACGGCCCTATTCATAGCCAGGGATCATGCAACCGCTCTTACTGGGCAGACCACACCCAGGCATCCCCAGCTCTGCGCCTGGTCTCCCCTGGCTAATGACTCTACGAACTTCCTGCTCTCATGGGGCGCTCTCGCTAGCTCAGCCTCTAGGGACTAGAGCAGCGATTTTCAACCGGGGAGCCACAAGGATTTTTAAAACATGTGATACCTGACTATTTAGTCAGGGCACTGACCTCTTTCCCTTCAATTGTCAAATTAAAAAATGAAACCAGCTGAGACAACAATAGCCATATGGTATGAATGATTCAAAATTATACCTATTTTTTGGGTCAGATTGGTAAAAAATAGATTTTCTGGTGTGCCGCAGAATTTAAGTCAATAGTTTAGGTGTGACCTTAGATGGAAAAGGTTGAAAATCGCTGAGACCATTTTAAATGCTTTGACTATAAATACATCTCATAATAAAGAATATAACACTTTATGGTTTTTACTTTAAAGATTTTAATATTGATAAACTAAATGTTAAGCCAGAGAAAACATGTTTTCTGACTCGAACGGTGCTAGTAACAGTAAGGAGCAGACAGAGCCCAGACTTGCTTGTGAAAGTCGGAAGTGTTCCTCCCTCCGCAGACGTGTGATGATGTCTGAGAACACTGCACTGGACACGGCCCATGTCGGACAGTGTCTCCTTTCCTCGCGACGTGCCCACAGCACCGTCGCTCAGGGAAATGCCGTGCGGAGCAGACCATTCACCACAGACAGGAACGCACAGGCTCTTTTCAGCAAAACTAGCTACATGTCTGTTACTGAAATGCACACAGTCCAACAAAAACATATTCCACAAGAAGTGAAACTTCTTATTCTCTTCAAATTCATGCCAAACAATGAAAACGCCACGAGAGAATTAAAAGAAAAAGCCACTATAACAACAGAATAAACCCCAAAGCAACATTAAACTTAAACAAATACCTATGAACTCAAGTTGGTTTTTTGAAGACAGTGGGATGGCATAGCAAGAAATTCTAAAATCTCATGCAGAACACATCTGAAGTGCAACGAGAGACAGGCATGGGGGGACAAAGGCCAGGCGGGCTCGCTGAAGGTACACGGTCATCGTGACACGGATGTGCTGAGCAGCTGACTGACTAATGGCACCGTTCATCTCTTTCAAGATGTCATTCTTTTTTGTTTTGAGAGAATGTGGGTACAGTGCTAGATAATTAGGCCCAAAAGAAAGTGTGGTAGGAAGAGGGTAAGGACTCTCTTTCCTATGTCGGGCAACTGAGTGTACTCTGGATATTGGGTGAGACGTGTCATCATCAGAGCGGGGCGCTGTCATCTTTCCGCGTACCTTGTTTCCGTCAGGGTTGTGGATGACGGTAGTTTGGGGCTCCTGAGTGAGAACAAATAGAGAGAAGAGTTCGCATGGTAAGTACTCTGAGTGGTGCTGGCAGAGCAGCGTGGCAGCCCCAGGACAGCAGGACAGCGGAAGCGATGTTAACCACGTCGGGCTGCGGGGCAAGGCCGTGGGCAGAAGGTCGCGGGGGCCCCGGCAGCATGCAAGGCCTCGTTCTGTCAGCACACAGACCGGCTCTGCAGCTGGAGGCCTGCAGAGGCAGCTGCTGCTCCATCTCCTGCACAGGGCTGTCCCCCGCCTGCAGCGGGCCGCTCCCTGCTCCCGTCTACCCACCAGCTGGCCACGGACGCTGGCGGCGAGAGCTCTGAGAGGCATTCAAATTCTCCTTGAGGAGATCTTTCAGCTGTAGTGTCTTCAGAATTGATTACGGTATCGGCACTGTAATTAATGCACAAATACCCTCGGGAAATTTAGAGCCATTGGGCCACACTTAAAAAAGAGTACTATCCTAAAGACTGTGTCAAAAGTCCCATTCTAAGGGACATTTAAAAGGCTCATTTAAAGGGTTCTAGAATTAAGCATAAAATCCCAATAATTTGGCTTTCACTAGGCGATGCCTGGCCAGCTGGAGGCCACTGCAGCGCTGAGGTCCCTGCCGTGCAAGTGCCCTCCCTGGCCAGGCTGCAGGAACCTCAGAGCACCTGTGGAGTCCCTGCCCCTCCCTACTGGACCTGGATCAGCACTGGGGTCGGGGAGATGACCTCCCGTCTCCATGTGCCCGTCCTTCAATGTTTAGAACGGAGCCTGCTGGTCAACCTGCGTGGGACAATCCCCAACCATTTTGGAGTCATTTATAGTAACAGCAGAGGACAGCAAAAAATCATCAATCCAAACATGGAGCAGTTTGGGGAAAATAGTGTGGAACTCAGGGCACTGAATTCGTTTTCAAATCTCACACTTTTCCTACACTGTGCCAAAGTGCTAAGCTGGCCTGACGGGGCCTGAGTGGCAGGCACACACAGCACTTGCCGGTGAAAGCTCGCAGTCTGTGCTGCGGAGTTTCCCTCTGCATTAAACTGGAACGGTGGCCATTTAATTTAAAGATGACAAAGAGCAGACTTTAAATGGCCCAGTGCCCCTGGACCTCGCAGGTCAGGCCTCGCGAAGCTGGGGTCCGCAAGCGGCTCGGGCTCTGAGCGGGCCCTGCGCTCCCCGTGCCTCTGCAGCCTCCACCCGCAGAGCCGCGCGCAGCCCAAGCGCATTCGCCGCCCCGCGGGGCACATGCAACGGCACAGCGACACTCAGCCATGGCGCGAAGGCATCTCGTGTTAGCGACACACTGCCTGACAACCACCTTAACAGAGGAAAAAGGGAACAGTGAACGTGTCCACATCTCAGAAAGCAAACCAAAACCAAAACCAAAACCCGACAGAACGTGTTCATGTCGGCCTGCACACAGGCAACCGCGGAGGGCAGAGCGAGAGCACGGGGTTACAGAGTCAGCTGTACCAGCGCCGGGGCGGGGGCGTTCTCTTTGGGGCTAGTTACCACGTTGGCTCTGTTGTTTATCTGTGGGTCGCAGAAAACAGAGAGACGCCTTAAAGCCCTGGCAGCAAAGGCGCTACCTGTAGCGTGTCCACGTGGAGACACCGACACAAGAATAAATAATGTTGCACCCAGCGTGAGACCCTGACGACCACGGAGTGGAGCTCGGCCTCGGCCCCGGAGGCCACCGCGGCTGGGCCTGGGCCTGGGGGTGGACGCCCAGGACCCGGCTGCTCTGGCTGTGCTGCAGCAGCAGGTGAGCCGCTCAGGGCGCCCGCTGAGGCTCAGGGCGCCCACTGAGGCTCAGGGCACTGCCCGCTCTCTCCGAGCCACTCTCGCCCGGCTTCCGCTGGGCACACTAGGAACGTGGGGTCCTGTTCCATTTTGTTCTGGCGCTTGGACTCACCACAGACCACCTTTCTCCGGGAACGGTCACCACTGTTTTGTAGACATCAACTGAAAACTTAGATGTCCTGATGAAACACAGGCGTTATAGTTTTAAAACGATGCGCCTGGGTCTCCTTTGAAAACTACACCTTCTATTACAAACGGGCAAGCGGAGCTCTGGTACTGACAGCAAACTGACCGCTTGTCAGTGTCTGACAGGAAAGCACCACGTTTCCTGGCCAAGCCCTGCTCCTGTCACTGAAGACTGTCCGGGACCACGACGCCCTGGCTCCCACAGCTGGCTGACCTCACAGGTCACCGAGAGGCCTGCAGGGGGCAGGGAAGGCCGTGGACAGCGGCCGAGCTCAGGCCTCAGGAGTCACAGACTACAGTGACCAGCACTCGTCCCGGCTCACGCACGGCAACTCACAGCGAGGCTGCAGGCCAGCAGGACCAAAACGCACTTTCCGTACTATGTTCTCTAGGTATTTTCTTTACACATTAGTATCTAAACTTCAGATTCTAAAGGAACACATCCCACAATTTTAGTATAAATGTACCTAAGGACATAAAGAAAAAAACTGCATAAAAAAATGCACACCAAAGAGTATTTACAAGCAATAACACCAAGTAACTGGACTTTCTGGGAATCCTTTTCTCTACTGTGCACCAGAGAGCAACCTGAGGCAGCGCCCGCAGGAAGACGGAGGCAAAAGCGGGCCTGCGTGTGCAGCAGCGCTTCTCTACCACCCCCACCTGGGGTGAGCTGGCAAGCTGTGACACTGTGCCCCAGGGCACACAGGAGGAGAGAAGACCGTGGGTGCCCCTCACTGGAAAGCCCTTGAAATATCAATCTGTCTTCGGCAGTTTGCCTGAAACTTTTATTTAAATAAAAGTGCACAGTATTTAACTGTGCAACAGTCAGAAAGAAACCAGAGAAAATGGAGCCCAGTAAGGAGGGATGAAACCCAGCATACACGGGGTACAGAATGTGAGAAAAGGGGAGGTGCACACAGATGACCGCGTACCCAGCAGCAGTGCCCGGCCAAACAGCCTCCTTGCCCAGGACAGGGGCTCTGTGCACACACGTAGTTAATACACTAGATTCAGATTATGTCAGTGGAGGCAAAGAACAAAAGAGGAAATCTTTTTTATGTTTTGAGACAGGAGAGTTAATTTTTTCTAAGACGTGGATGCCAAGAACCCTTTATTTTAGTGAGAATGTCCCACGCATTCGTCTGCACACAAGCATGTCCGCACAAATGCGCACACACCACCGCCTCCTGCACACCAGGGCGTCTGGACGCACGTCGTCCATCAGGCACGGCCAACGTGTGTCAATGTACCGTCAGAAATGTCTCTGTTAGTGTAAAGGCCAGCTTGGTGATTCTTTTTACTACAGGAGATCTTCTGAAGGTTCTGTAATATTGACTAATTGAAAAGAAACAGGAGAATTTCTGAGTCCTGGCCGGGAGGCCTGCCTTTCAGACGGGTGCACACCAGGACGGTTCAGCCATAGCCATCGGTAAACAGACGAAAACCTGGCACTTTGGGAAATGCAGTTATTTTATGTTATGGAAGCCAAGTATTTTTCTTTTAAAAAAATGACATCAAATCGGATATTTAGAGGAGGCACTGAATTATTCTTAGGAGGCAGGGCCAAGACACCCCTATTTCTCTGGTGTTAGTTTATTCAGCATCCATGCGAATGAACATCTCCTAGCCAGGTGCTTGCAAGGACGGCCCACCGCGAGGTCCCACCGCTCTGTTATAAACTCCACGGTGGGCACACCACAGCGCGTCTGAATCAGCAATCACTCCTAGTTTAGTCATCACCGTTGTCATTTAAAAATAATCCCAGTCTTTCCTACTTATCAATAAACAGACATTAACTGCGTCACAGTCTCCAGTTTCAAGAGGAAACTGCACTTTTCCTTGTAAAAGACCCTTTGACAGCACACAGATGAGGGCAGAGACTTTCAACATATTTAAAACAATCAACTTCAAAGAAAAACAACAGCATATGAATGTGGATACTGTGTTCCGATGGTTAATCAACGTTGGCCTACATGGTCCTACACTTCCCCATGGGACTAACTCAGGTGGACAGGCTATTTGCTCCTACGTGTGAACTTCCACAGGAGAGAACCTGGCAGGTAGAGATCTCACCATCATCTGAACACTCGAACTGGACTTCCTTTTCTGAATTGACCAGTTAGAGAGAAAGGAAAGAAAAAAATATGACCAGTTGAGTTTTCAAGTATCAAAGCATAGAGCATAGAATGATTCTGTCTTCAGGAATTATAAGTTGACTGAAAGAAAAAAGTTCTGGAAATATCTCTATAAGGAGACCAGTGACAACACATATCTCAGTGGGAACTGTAAGCTCTGCACCTCTGAGTTGTACAGAAAAACGCAGGCGAGTAAACATTCGGAAGATGCATGATGTCACATCTGCATCCACGTTAACTGGGAAAAGGCAGACTCCACTGTGACACTGCGCGGGGGGGAGATGGGTGACAGGCAGCACCTTCCTAATGGGAACAGCAGGGCGTGGCCACGCTGCTCAGAAATCCCCATGTCACAGATGGGGGGGCATGGACACTGACCGTTTTCTGTTATGTTCTCAAATGAGGTTGGGTCAAGTTGAAATGTTAGAACAGTAACTAGTTTCCGGGACTGCGGAGCGTTCACGAGGATGTTTGCATCTGCCGTTGGAGGGGGAAGGACAATTAAAGAAAACATTCGGGGCGCGCTCTGGGAAGACAAACACGGTGCAAACTCAGGGCCACAACTCAAAGGTAAATTCCCAGGAAACAAAATGGAACCAATAAAAATTCAATTGTATGATTCTGTTTAGGAATTCAAGAAAGTGAAAACGTCTTCTCCTTATCAGAGAACTTTCTAGCATTGCTCTGAGTGTTTGCCACGAGCCCGTCTCAGCACCTGGAGGCAGAAGTGCAGCAACGGCTGCGGCCTCCACAGGACGAGCCCAGACATTGACACTCGACTTCCAGACCCAAAGGTCTGACCTTTCCAGGCCACACAGTTCAGCAGCCTCCAGGAACACGGTGTGACTGCTGGGAAAAGGTTTGGTTTTCACAGATCTTCAGGTCACCATGAGGTGGAAATGTGGGAACCCAGAGAGGAGTCAGACATTCGTTTCTATAGCAACTCCCTATAAAGTATATAATAAAATAGAAAAAAAATACAGCTTTTCTTGGCATAAATATTAGTCATCTCTGTCTATTAAATTATTTTATACTTCAACCTGCATTCTTTACAGGAACTTTAAAAAAAAAGCTGCAAAGACCTGGGTGTTGCAATCAACATTGTAAAATTATGAGAAATAACTTCAGGAGCACAAGCTTGACTTACCTTCACACCATCTGGTTTCTTCAGCAAGCTCTTGGCCGCTGTGAAAACGAGAGTGAGATCACGTTAGCAAGTCCTACACAGGAGCCCGGGCCAGGTACCAAGGCAGGTCGCTGTGTCTTCCCACCATCCCTGCTGAACCACGGCCAACAGGCCCCAGCCACAGTTGTGTTCAGCTGAGCCCACAGGACACAGAAATACAGTATACTGCTCCATGTGGAATTAGGAGCTCAGTTCTTACTTAGCTCACTGCACAGCATCGAGCCCTTGGCCAGTCCTGCCACTGGACTCAGTGCTGCTGTGGGCTGTGATGACACTGGGCTGGGACTGGCTGTGCCTCTATGATCCAGATGGCTGCTTTCACAGTGTGATGTGTTCACTCACGTGGGATGGTGTCACTGAGCCCTCCTTCTACAGGTTCAAAACTCATCTGTGAAAATTTGCTCTGGCTAAATAACATCTTTTTAGAAAAGAAGGACCTCTTACTCTTTGGGACAGCATGGAGGGAACTGGAGAGAGTATTATGCTAAGTGAAATAATCTAGTCAGAGAAAGACAAGTACCACATGATCTTACTGATATGTGGAATCTAATGAACAAAATAAATTGACAAAACAGATCCAGAGACACGGAAGTATGGATTAACCAAAGAACTTATATGCATAGATGCATAACCCATGGACACAGACAATAGTGTGGTGAAGGTCTGGGGGGTAGGGTGGAGGGAGTCAATAGGGAAAAAAAGGCGACATCTATAATACTTACAATAGGAAAAATTGAATATATATATTAGAAATAGGACCATTTCATTTTTACAAAAATACTAACTTTTTAAAATAAAATGGAATATTACTGACCTGGAACAAATACCCTACCCCCCCTTGGCAGGAGACCTGAAGAAAGCAATTACCTACTCCTGCTCTTCAACATCAGAGTACCAAGGCCTCAAACAAAAGGCAGCCCGGAGGGCTCGGGGGCTGAGCACAGCCCTAGGACCCAGGAGGTCGCGGTTCAATTCCCTGTCAGAGCACATCCCTGGGTTGTGGGCTCAACCTCCAGTGGGGGTGTGATCAATGACCCTCATCACTGATGTTTCTCTCTCTCTCTCTCCCACTCCCTTCCTCTCTCTGAAATCAATAAAGACATAAAACAAAACAAAACCCCAAAAACGAAAGTCTTCTACACTGAAGAACTAAAGATCACAAAATCTGAGGTGAGATATGAAACAAAATAAAATCTTCAACTAAATCAGAAACCTCCTGAGGGACAGGGTTTTATGTGAGACTTCGCCTCATCGCTGGGAGCTTTCAGCATTCCTCCCGCTGCTGAGGCTCAGTGCATTAGAAGGCTTATGAACAGGGCACACAGAGACGTCACTCAGTGAGAGCTGTGCACCAGGTGCAGAACCCTTAGGGACACGTGGGACCAAGTGCACACTGACGTGTGAAATATTTAAGCACCTGGACTGGAATGTGGTGTCTGGAATAAAAATCCTGGCTGTAACAGAAATGCATGAATGCATAATTTCCTGACATCATTTTCATTTGGGACATTACTTTGGTATAATTTTAAATTTGTTTAAAAGACACAAAACCTAATGTTATGCAGTCCTTAGCAACACTGCTACTAATTTATTGTTAACTGAGGTTGTGGGAAATCGTCGTCTCAGCGATCGTACTATTTGCCTGGAGCTAAAGAACAGTGCTGAGTGAATCTTGGGCCTCCCGGGTCAGAGAGCAGCCCAGTGGGTGGATATGTGACTGCAGGCAGACTGGACCCTGTGGGCGGAGAGGACCCTGTGGCGGGAGAGGACCCTGTAGGCAGAGAGGACCCTGCAGGCAGAGAGGATCCTGCAGGTGGAGAGGACCATACACGTGGCGAGGGCCCTGCAGGCGGAGAGGACCCTGCAGGTGGAGAGGACCCTGCAGGCACACTGGACCCTGCAGGTGGAGAGGACCCTGCAAGCAGAGAGGACCCTGCAGGCGGAGAGGACCCTGCAGGCGGCGAGGGCCCTGCAGGCGGAGAGGACTCTGCAGGCGGAGAGGACCCTGCAGGCAGACTGGACCCTGCAGGCAGAGAGAACCCTGCAGGCGGAGAGGACCCTTCAGGCACACTGGACCCTGCAGGCGTAGAGGGCCCTGCAGGCACACTGGACCCTGCAGGCGGAGAGGACCATGCAGGCGGACTGGACCCTGCAGGTGGAGAGGACCCTGCAGGCGGAGAGGACCGTGCAGGCGGAGAGGACCGTGCAGGCGGAGAGGACCCTGCAGGCGGACTGGACCCTGCAGGCACACTGGACCCTGCAGGCGGAGAGGACCCTACAGGTGGCAAGGGCCCTGCAGGCGGACTGGACCCTGCAGGCGGACTGGACCCTACAGGCGGACTGGACCCTGCAGGCGGACTGGACCCTGCAGGCAGAGAGGACCGTGCAGGCAGAGAGGACCGTGCAGGCGGAGAGGACCCTGCAGGCGGACTGGACCCTGCAGGCGGACTGGACCCTGCAGGCGGACTGGACCCTGCAGGCGGAGAGGACCGTGCAGGCGGAGAGGACCGTGCAGGCGGACTGGACCCTGCAGGCGGACTGGACCCTGCAGGCACACTGGACCCTGCAGGCAGACTGGACCCTGCAGGCGGACTGGACCCTGCAGGCGGACTGGACCCTGCAGGCACACTGGACCCTGCAGGCGGAGAGGACCCTACAGGTGGCAAGGGCCCTGCAGGCGGACTGGACCCTGCAGGCGGACTGGACCCTACAGGCGGACTGGACCCTGCAGGCGGACTGGACCCTGCAGGCAGAGAGGACCGTGCAGGCAGAGAGGACCGTGCAGGCGGAGAGGACCCTGCAGGCGGACTGGACCCTGCAGGCGGACTGGACCCTGCAGGCGGACTGGACCCTGCAGGCGGAGAGGACCCTGTAGGTGGACAGGACCCGGGGACAGGGGCTGGGCTGGGAAACGTGGAAACGAGCCCAGTTCCCATGCACCTCACTTCACAAGAATACATTCCCCATAAAGGGGGAGAAGGGAAAGTGAAAGCAAGTCCATAACCGGATGCGTGCAGACAAGCTGCTTTAAAGGGCGTGTTTGGCAATAAAACAGATGAATGAAGTGCAATGCTCAGTGTCCACAAGGGCCAAGACGACCACGCGAGGTGGCAGAAGCTCACATGGTGGATGCACAGTGACAAGGCTCAGAATACATTCAGGACTTGAACAAAACACACCATCTTTACTCTGAGTATTTTCTCAAGGTAGTGTGCCATTCACAATATATACACCACACAACTTTCCTAACTGGGAGTGACGCGCTCATTTTTGGGCCACAGTGAAACACGGTACTACTTCATTTGAATGTAGTATATATTAGGTAATACTTATTAATGAGGTGCATTGAACTCCCCCTGTAAATGTCAATTACATGAATCAACCGTTCATAAAGGCAGCTGGGAGGTTCTGCTACACCACCCGGGTTAGGCGGAACTCGTCCACCCGACGGACCCAGGCCTGCCCTTCAGTGCCCTCCTGTCATCACCGCTGCTATGGCCCATCAGGAGAAGCCTCTGGAAAGCCTGCTGTGGTTTCACACTATTGACACCACAGTGGGGACAGCACTGTCCCTGGTGTCCCTGAGAACGAGACTCTTGCATAGTCTGACTGACCCACAGACCCCTGGTGGAAATGCTCAGCAAAGGAAAATGGTCATGTTTCTGGCACAATTGTTGGATAGCTGTTCCACGCAGAAAATTTACCAAGAGCAGCAGCTCTCGTGGCTTCAGGCCTCCCCATACTTAAGACTGACCAGCAGTTTTGGAAATCTGACTTGGAAACAGGGTCCTCTGAGATGACCTGTTGAAGGGGCCCCCAAACTCAAATAATTTCTGCAGACAATAGATACTTTTGGAGAGACTCTCAGGAGGTATAAAGTTCCAAGGTCCCGCAGCTGAAGGACTGGCTCAGCTTCACGCCGCCTGTTACACACACAGCCCGCCAGCCCCTGCTCACCAAGGGCCGGTTCCCACCCTGCGGCGCTGCTGTGGGGCAGCTCTCAGGGCCAAGCCCAGAACCCTCCGAAAGTTGAGCTCACTCCTGGAGCCAGGAGACTACTGTGCTTTCCTAAGGACTTAGGCCTAAGAGAACCCGTTCCTCGGTGACGGTCTTCTTGTAAAACTCTTGCTTATTGGGATTCCCGATGGAATGAGAAACTTACTCACTGTAATGCTTTATGGAAACATCAATTGATGAACCTGAGGTGCAGGTGCCAAGCCCCAGGATGACAGGGACACACACAGGGTGGGCACAGGGGCACCCTGTGGGGAGGGCTCGCCTGCCTGACGCACCGCACACAGCACCGGGTGGGAGGCCCGAGGGCACCGGGTGAACGAATCCACACACACTGCTATCCCCGAACAACAGTTTCTTTCTAATTATTTTTTTTTTCAATTCCAAAAATATGACTAAAGAGGAAAACAGAATACAAGAATCAGGGTCCTTAATACACGTACCTGAAAAATTCCTCGTGGCCAGCATGGTGGTCAGGATGGCACCCTGTCAGAGAAAGGAGGCCAGGTAAGTGTCACTCTGCGACCTTCAACCTGACGCACAGTCCCAGAGGACAACCTCTGGCCTCACTCTGGTCGGGGGCCATTGCCGGTTTGTGCTTGTTTGGTTTCAGGGCAGCAGGTCTCTGGGATGGAGGCCATGTGTGCAGCAGACGCAAGCTCACCTGACACAGCTGTGCCCTCTGCCGGAGGGAGCGGGCACACATGGTCACAGCCCCCTAGCGCTCCCTCGTGGGTTCCCTTCTAGAGCACCCCCAGCTCCCCAAGACCCAGGAGACGAGCACCGAGTCTGGACAGGCAGAACTGTGCAGACAGTCAGAACTAACTCCACCCAGGTGGCACCCCAGGGAAGCTCCTGTCTCACCTTCAGCTTTCTCCGGGCGTTGAACTTCTTCAGGCAGTCCACCGTCTCCTGTCTGTGCATCATGGAGGCCACCGTGGAGCGTTGCTGCAGGAGGAGAGAGACTTTTCAGGGCTCCCCACACTCAGGCCACGCCCCACCTGGTCAGGCCTTCAGTGACGGTGCCGCAGCACAGGCCACCTTACGCATGGTGTCGGCCTCGCCCCAAAGACCCGCACGCCCACACGGAGCCGGTTGTTCTAAGGGCTGCCTTTCGTTTACTTAGCAACAAATTCGTCACCCTGGCATTTCACACACCCCTAGAAATTACTACAATCTCTACGTTCCCGAGTGTTCACGCTATTTTCTTAGCGGGTCTAGACCTATACTGAGCCTCTTCTGCTAGGAAAACCTCCTCCCAGCTTCCAAACCTGGCATTTCTTCTAAAGCTGCCTAATGATAAGTAATGAACTTCGTGTGTTTTTATCTCCTAGGATGTACTTAATCTTGGTGCCATTTTCCTGACTTCTGCTCATGGGCATTATCGATGATTGGAAGGCAAGTGCTCCCTGCTTGCGGGACTGCAGGCAACACTGACTGAGCCCTCCATGTAAACCGGCCCTGCTACCCAAAATGCATTTTTAACCATTTTAAAATAACTTTGCTAAATATCTTGAGTCAAAATTCATTCACTCATTTCATCTTTTTCTGCAAAAATTATCCTAAGTCCATGAGAAGAATGTGAAGGGCAAGACTATTTTCTGCGCTGGCCCCAGGCCGTGGCCACCGCTTACGCAGATCCACGGGTGCTTCAGCGCCTCGGAGGCCGTGATGCGCTTGGCGGGGTTGATGGTCAGCATTTTGTTGATGAGGTCTTTGGCTTCAGGAGTCACTGTGTCCCACTCTGGTGATGGAAACTTCAAAAACGTAAATTTAGAAAGAGTTTAAATAACAGATTCACTCATCCAGTGGGGAACAGCCAAATATTCTAATCATCTCCTTAAGTAGTGAATTTCTTCATACATTTACTCTGTGTCTGAGCTAAACTGTACCTAGATAAGCTGACACAGATAAAAACATCCCCACGTATATATTAACTTTCTGTGTGTTAGAAAAGAGTAACTGAGAGGGACAAACATATATACTACATTGCATGTCCCACCTAGGACATACTTTTAAAGTTTAGAAAAATAACTTTAAGAGTCAGTCCTCTCGAAGTACCCTTGCTTTGATCCGAAAATAAAATTTTATGCAATCCTCATCATTATTTACAAAAATAAAGCAGAGAGCTGCCACGGATACGGATGCCCCCACGCCGCCCCGCCAGGGCTCCGAGGGGCGGCCCCGGCCCGAGCAGTGGAGCCGAGGCAGTGAAACAGCTCATTCCTGTGCGGGGCCGGCCCGGCATCGGGCTGCGTGGGGCGGCGCTGAGAAGGGTCTGGACTGCGAGAGCCCTTCCAGGGGCCGATCCAATATTACACATCCACCTCCCGCGACCATTCAAATCCACTTCCCATTAGTGACCTTACAATACAGCTATTTATCCGGTTCCTTTAAGTGAAATTTTTGTTGATAATTATGCAACCTCACTCTCACACAATTAGCATATTCAGTGGAAATGCTCTTAGTTAAGGGTCAAGAAGAATTTACGTCATGAGTTTCTAGACAGCAGACAGAAACCGGGCTCCCCACGCAGTTCTGCGGGAGTCTCGGGACGAGCCACAGTCCCTGAGTCGTGGACTTGTTCCATTTCAGAGTTACAGATGGGGAAAGTGCAACTTGAGAAAACGGTGCCGACTCTTCAGTACCTGCACATTTTGCCGGCTTAACAACTGTCGCCTTGGTTCTATGTTAATTTTGGGTGGCCTGCCAGGGACGCAGGACCACAGGAACTTCCCCTCAGGCTGCTTCCTAAGGACAGTAGTCCTCAGTCCTCGGCTGCAGGTAGGCGGGGAGCCAGCAGCAGGTGGCCCCTCCCCTGCCTGTCTAACCCGACCAGGGCCCCCTCCACTTTCCCAAACTGTGTGGGCAGCTCGTCCCAAAGAGGGGCCTGGTTCTCGCCCACAATGACCAGGCAGGGGTGGGCTGTGGCCACCAAAATAAGTCTGTCCAATGATGAGTTTGCCTGGATGGAAGGCTCCAAAATGAAAATAATACACTTTAAATTCTCATAATACAGACATCCACCTAAAGAGAACATTTTAACAGAAATGTTCTGGGAGTTCATGAGCCCTGACCGGATATAATCCGTACTTTTTATACTAGTCCTCTCCCTTCTGTGCTGAGCTTCCGGCCTGTGCAGGTCTTGTCTGTGTGAGGTGCTACTTATAATACCTGGGAAGCACCTCCAGGCCCTGCACACTGACCTCTGCAGGCCGTGGAGGTGAAGCCAGGGGGGTGGCACCTCATTACAGACGAAATTACAGACACAGTTATCAAAGGACAGAATCTGCCTCGATGAGCAGAGTTAAGCCAAGAAGGGAAAACAGGTACGGCCCTACTCTTCAGGTTCAGAACGTAATTCATGCTCGTGTGTGTATATATGTATATGCCTACTTTCAAACTGTAAATAAAACGTGCTGGGACTGTGATTTTAGACACCCCGCAACTGTAAAGACCCATCTTCACAGGGCAGCTGGCCCAGAGCCCACGAGGGACACAAGGCAGAGTCAAAGTGGCACACAGATAATGTTCTATTTGATCCCAATCCCTGCAAAGTTCTGCTGTTACGTGACTTAAAACTGTGACAGGCACTGGGGAATGCATTAAAATAAAGAGGTGGGGATCATTTCTAAAGCAAAAATGGCTTAATTTCTAGGTGTTAAAATGCACTAAGATCCAAACACTTTGACAAGAAGGTCCTTCCTTAGAGACTTGGAGCTGTTTTCCTTTCAATCTTAGCAGCTATGGCTAAGAGGACACACTCAGGACATATATGCCACATTTTCCTGAGAGGAAGACAACAGGGAGCCCTCTGAGGTGGCTTCACGCAGCAAGGGGGGTGCAGCGCTGGTCCCCCGGAGAACGCCCCACGTAAAGCTCTCGCTACCACGTACGTCGTAAGCTCCAGCCTTGATCTGCTGGTAGAGTCTGTGCTGGTCTTCGTCCCAGAACGGGGGGTACCCCACCAGCAGGATGTACAGAATGACACCTGAGGGACAGACGGCAACACGCGTTAGGTGGCGGGAGCTCCCTGTGGCAGACCCGCAGCCGTCAGCCCCGCTCGCGTGCAGAGGGAACGGGTTGTCGGGCCCCCGGCAGACAGGTGGGGTGCACGGAGGCGCCGGGGCGGGCGGATGCCGCGAGCCTGAGCTAGGGTCCCACACGAGACAACGCCCGCCTGTTGTGGGGCCTCCGAGCCGCCCTGCACACGCCTTCGCCGCAGCTCATCTATGTGGACACTGTGCGATCTCAGTCACTTGGTGGGTGGACATTTGAAACAACACATTATTTATTTCTCCTCCTCCTGCCTCTGATTAGGGCATTTGTTGAGCAATGGTGCCTGGTTATAAGCCAATGCCCTGAACAGGCGGGGTCTCGGGGAGTGTGGCCGACGTGCGGAGGGGATCTCCTCTCCTCGGAGTTTCCAGTGAACCCCCAGGTGCTACAGCAGAGTGTGACTTATGGGAGGGAAGAAGGGGGGGCAGGGTGTGGCTTCCCGTGAAGTCTGCGGCGCCCCCCCAGGTCCCGAGGCACTGCCGTGTCTGCACCCACCGCCCCTCCCTCCAGCACTCAGGGTTCGAGGGCAGCCCTCCAGCCACACCCCAATTCCCCTCCACAACACCCATCCCTCAGTGCCCGCCCGTCAAATTCAGCAGCAGAAACAGAGCTGGTGGGGCTGACTTGTTGCAAAGATAGTATCGTGGGATCGCCATGAGCATATGGATGAGAGCAAGGGCGTCGGACAGTGCGCTGACCCCAGGGCACTGCGCAGTCCACGCCGAGAGGGGCTCTCAGGGAGGGGAAGGCAGGCCCCTGGGAGCAGGACTAGGTTCTCACCCTCTAATCACGTGGAAATCCCAACCTTTTAGAGTAACAGCTGCTCGCACTTCAACTGCTTTGCAAACTATACAATATGGTCACCTGAAGTGCACCTCACTCGCCCAAACAAAATTACAGGAGAGAACATCCTCCCATTCACAGGTGGAGACACCAGCTCAGGGACAGGAGGCGGTGGGGACGGGAGGTGCCGAGCAAAGACCTGAACCAGCGTGGGACCCTCCCAGCTGCTCCCTGGGCCTGGAGGAGCCCGGAGCCCGGGGCCACCTCCCTGACCTCAAAGTGCCTGGGCATCTCCTGGGGACCCGGGGAAGAGGCCCCCTGCCAAGTCAGAGACAGCACCCAGGGCCCTGCCTGCCAGCCAGGTGACCTTGGTGTGTGGAGGACCCCAAGTTACATCCGCTTCACACAGGAAAGACTCTGCTTCACATCATAACAACACTGCTGCAAAACCCGCAGAGAGAGGCTCTTACCGCAGGCCCACATGTCCACCGGCTTTCCATACGGGTCTTTGCGCAAAACCTCTGGAGAAAGGTACCCAGGTGTGCCAGCGAAACCTGCGGAGACAGAGGCCAGTGAGTCGGCCGATGCGACAGAACCAGCGGGAGACGGGGAGGTGGCAAGAAAACTTTCCTGGCTTCTTTATCTGCTGTTTGCCCAGAGAGGCCGGTGTCAGGTGCTGCAGGAGCGCAGGCAGCTTCTCTCAGGCCTGTGGACACTGACCTGCCCGCGCTGTGGCTCAGGAGACAACCCAGCTCTTCCCAATCCCAGGCCAACCCGCAGGCACCAGCGTGCACCCTGCGGCCGCTGGCAAACAGGTCTCCCTCTTCCATGTGGGACTGAAACTACCTGTGACACGTGAGGACGAGGGCCCACCTGGAACTTCAGCTGCAGGCGGGGTCCCTTACCTCCCCCTTTCTACCGGAAAGCAGGGCGTCAGCTTCCTGTGAGGAAGGTGCCCTCCTGCACCCAGAGGAGGCGCGTCCCTGTCACTGGGAACGGGGAGCTGGTGCTATGAGGAGTTTGTACAAACCAACCCTCTAAAATACTGTTCCTACAGCTCCCCCACACACCCCACTCACCTCCCGCTAATCATCCCCTTTCTCTTTTAAAGCAAAATCATGTAAAAGCCTGAAACTCTGGCATTACACACGATGAAGAAAGAGTCCTGTCCTTATTGAAGTAAAAAGCCCGTCCCCACCGACACTGACTTTACATTTTAAAAGGGAAAACTGGTCAAACACGGGAGGCTCTGATGGCTGAGTAAATTCGGAACGAGCTGTTCGCACTACAACACACCTTTCCCGAGACCCGACGTGTGTCTGGAGCCCCCCAGGAAGTGCGGCCGCCACATGCCTCCTCCCTCAGCCGGGCGCCACGAGGACCCACGTATCTTAAGCTTAGAAACGGTGGGAATTACACTTTACAAATGGGGGCTTTTCTTAAAAGCCATTCTCTAATGGGCACCTTAGAAAGAGCTTCACTGTGGACAGTCCATGCTTGGGGGAGACGGGCATTTACCCCGCCTGTCGCTGATTCTCTAGAACCAGCTGCTGTCAGAGATGAGCAAGCACAGTTGGACACTGACCATGGCTCCTGCTCACAGACTCACGGCCGTCTGTGGGTGCACCCAAGCCTGTGCCACGTGTCCATACCACGAGGGTTTGAGGCTTCACTGGACCGCTTCTGCGGCACAGGCGTGCCCTGTGGACAAAGGACACTCCTCGGAGTGACTGCCCATGTCACATGGCCCTCAGGAGTCCAGCTAGGACACAGGCTCGGGACTCTCACTCAGAAGAGAATGTCCCCTCCACACACAACCTTGCCCGCCTCACACAGCCCACGGCCCCGGAGCTGAAACGGGGTCAGGATCACACAGGCCAGGATGCTGAGGCACACTGAGCCTCACCACTTGCTCCTGGCACCCAGCCATCCTCTGGGCATCCTGCCACCCGAGTCCGTGGAGAGTCCCGCCCTGTTCCTGAAGGAACCCCCCCCGTGCTCCAACATCCTGACCAGGTTCCCCAGAGCCCGAGCCCCGTGCGCTCTGCGTGGTGAGGGGACCTGCTGGTGCCCCCCCTCACGCTGTCCTCACAGTGCGCACAACCACCTGGCCTGACGTCGCCACCTTCACGCTGCCAGCACATCGGCATGTTGCCCACTGTATGTCCCTCTACTGAAAACGCCTCCTCTGACCCCAGAACTTCCAGGCTGAGGGCCTAACTCTCGCAAGGACAGGATGGCGTCTGCCTCAGGGTCGGCCCCTCCCGGGCACGCTGTGCACACCAAGCTCCTCAGTCCTAAGACCCCCCTGGGCCGAGCCCGCAGCCTGGAACGCGTCAGCTCCACACCCCCATCCTCCCAGGACGGCCGTGGCCACCACTGTGCGTTACGTGGCCAGCGTCTTCACTCTAACTTGGCTACGAGACTAAAACCATTCCTCACTGCTCTGACATGCTGAAGAGCTCATCTGAGGGGAGGGGGAGGGGTGCTCAGGTGTCGCACTATTCTAGCTGTTTAAGCCTTCCACTGTTAGAGACCTGCGGTTACATGATGTACTTTATGCTCATAACTGGTATGGCTGGAGAATTAGTGTTGAATTTACAGCACCAGCAGAACAGGAAATGTGACGTACTTTATGCACGTCAATAAAGGAACGGTTCGTGTTGAGAATGGAAGTTGGACGTCAAACACCCTTGTATTCCAAAATAGGCTCTCAAACATTTTGTAATTTTCATTTAAATTGTTAGGAGGCTCGAAGCTATTAGTTAACCTACCTTCCAGTACACTGTTTAATGCAGCACTGAGTAAATGACGCAAGTTGTCAGTGGGACACAGGCAGCTCCTCTGCTCACTGTGCACGGTCACGGCCGGTGCGCACCTGCTGGCACCTCCAGGGACAGGGCCTCCTGATATGTGCCCTGCCCATCTGCTTCCTGCTGGACCCCAGTCAGTCTGTTCTTTATCACTGTCAGCCATGCCCTTACCCAGGACACAAGGGTGGCTGAATCTCAAATGCACAGAACTAATTCTAGGCTCCACCTTCAGTTTGGTTTGCAGCTAATGGAACAAACTTACTCGTATGTCAGACCATGAGACTGCACGCCAGGTTTGCGGGTGAGTCATCTGGTGGGTGAGGAGGGGCTTGGTGGAAAAGGCAGTATAGAACTTGGGTGGGGTCACAGACAAGAATAACAGCCTGGTTCCACAGACTCAGGACACGGGACAGGCAGGAGAAAGTGAGGTCCCCAACTGGGCTGCCCCGGAGCTGGGGGGCTTCCACGCCAGCCAGCGTCATCTGCAGGGCGGAAGGGGGCACGGGGAGCAGGGAGCTCTGGACGCACCTGGGAGATGTGCGTCTTTAAGTCACAGGAGCCTCTGCATAGAAAACCAAACAGTGAGCACCTTCTGAGTTTTCTATCTGTTTACAGTTGTTCAGAGGAAAAGCAATTCGAAGGGAAGGGCATTTAAAAGTGTCCTCTAATCTCAAAACACTGCATGTGGGAAAGGAAACAAGACTGAGGCCTGGAGAGAGGTTACACTCTAGAACATCATACAAAACACAGGTTACTCGGGGAGGCCTAAGAAAGGCAGTGGTAAAGTAACTTACTTAGGCCAATCCCCGAGATAACCCATAGCCTGGTTAGAAATACTGCAATTTAAATTGGTTCAGTGTTAACCTCTCCCTTAATTATAAGGAAACAGAAATTTCATCATCTATAAATGTCAAAATCATCAAAATTTTAGAGAAGAAACTGGTATTTTGGAAAAAGAAGGTATTTAAGATGAAACACATAATATGTATCTATGGACATAAATACTTTTTAACATTTTTAAAAACTTTACCTTACTAATGACTAAGGTCTGTGGAGAGTTCTATGAGTATTTCCTGAGAACCTACATTTGCACAGTCGTTTTCAATCAACTTTCTCAGGAGGAAGCCAGGCACGCACCCTCCGAGCACAGCATCGTCTCAGCCGGTCTTCGTACAGTGTCCGTTTCCTCCCCCACCCTTTAGGACAAAGTCCCTGTGCTCCTCCTCTCCGAGTAACAATCTCCCTTATTTCTCGGGAAATAAGAGAATTAAGTGCTTATCGGCGCCCATCTTCAAGCCGGTGGAGCTATGGTTCATCCCGACGTCCCGGGGAGGGGCCTACTCACCGAACCACGCCTGCTGGTCTCCTTGAACTTCTATGGCTAAGCCGAAGTCCGCCAGTTTCACAGCCGCTCCTTTGGACTTGCTGGCTAACAGCAAGTTCTCGGGCTTTGTTTAGAAAGGAGAGAGGAGACTGAAGTGAGAACCTATTTTACGTGACTCTTTAAAGACAACAGTTTGGGCTCAGGGGAGGAGGCATTCCCTGTCCTGCCCGGAGAAGCCACTCCTGGCCCCAGGGGAGGCGTGGTGAGAAGTGATGAGCTGCTGCGACGTGCAGGTTCAGACGGGCGCGGAGGCCAAGGAAGAGCAAACCGACGGCACCTGTCGGGAGCCGCTCTCACGCTTCCCTGGGCCACCTGAGGCCCAGACGTGGCCACAGACTATGGCTTAGAAGCCTAGCAGAGCACAGACACTTGCAGCAGAAGGAAATCTGGCAAAATGATAAGAGCTGGACCAATTTATAGACATTTGGCAAACGAAACTGTGGAACTTCAAGAGATTGGACCCAAATTTAGTGATTTTGATTCCTCAATGTTTCCAAACAATCTCTGTACGAATTTTAGAGCCTTAATCTGAATTATGTATTAAAATCGCTGTCTTTAAGAATCCATTTATTCTTACAGGCAGGAAGAGTGTGCTATTTGCCAAATGTTAGTCAGCTTGTTTTCTTCATAAGCCAGCTCTTTGAAACGTAATTTGCATGTCTTCGGAGTGTGACTCAAAGCATTACTTATACATTTACTTTCACATCTTGAAATCCCATGAGAAAGATGAATCTTTATTTCTTGGGTATTTAGCACCACTCAAGGGCTAGTAACTCAGTGCTGGAATAAGGCTGTTTCTATCCCACTGCTTCCAATCACAGCATCGAGACACAGGGGCACTTAGACAAGGAGCAGCAGGCCCCAGCCCTGGACTTCCCTAGACGTCCCTGTGGGTTTTGAGAAGCGGTCAGGAAAGGCGGCTGATCCATGCGCTCAGTGAAGCCTATCATTCCCAGGAGCTGGAAAGGCATGGCTGGGCTGCACACTGCACATCTGTCCGTTTACCTTGGCATAAGACCCAGGAAATTTAGAGGTGTGTCTCAGAGTGAAAAAAGTTGGGAAACAGTGGACTATACAAGAGCCAAAAACAATTTTCTGAAAATCAGTAAGTCAAATTGGTTTTGTTTATATACTGACAGATAATTTCATATTTTTTCATAAAATTGGCAACTTTCTTACTGAATTAGTCAATTCTGCTGGTTGTTTTGACCTTGTATAAACACAGCCCAAACCAATTATTTAATTGATTAATTAAGGGAGCCACACAAATTAGCAAAAGACTCATAACCAGAACTTGCAAAAATGAGGTTCAGTCTAGAGTGAACTCTGACCGGGTGCCCAATGTCTTCAGACTGCCACTGTCCCTGCCACCCAACCAGCACTGTGGGGACAAGCGGTCACTTCGAGGAAACCCCTGTGGTGCGTCAGGGCTGAAATGGTTTGGAATGACCTCAACACTAAACACACAACCACTTAATCTGGATGCTGCGATGAAGATGCCCCCGGACTGAAAGGTCCCCACGCTGGAATAACTGCTGGTGAAACCTAACGCTCAGAATTACCTGAATTCTGGTTATCTATCAGTACAGTATAGTATCTAACCCTGTGATGTTATTTGATATGTTATTTTCACAAGTAAAACCTATGGCCCACAGTACTCATGAATGTTCTAATGTCATCAAGAAGTTATTTCCAGTGATTAGCTTACGGGATAAAGGCCTTGGAGAAACCACATTAAACAGTGACAATAGTTTATTTCTTTGTAACCTTCCGATAAAAAGCACGAGGTGTAGAGATTTGTGTTGACACACGTCGTGCTGACTTGTCGCCGCAGACTCACCTCAGGAAAACCGTGCGGTCCCTGGAAATGGTGATCGTTTTTGGTCTGTTAAGTGGCAGTGAAATTAAGCCAAGCAAATGCAGTGTCATTGTGAATAAACTTTAAAAAATCAATGTGCTTTTATTCTCATCACTTAATCATAATGCTAGGGAAGGACTGTGAGCTTTATGCCCTAAAGCAGCAGGACTCCTCCAACCGAGACGACATGGACCCCCCGAGGCTTCATCACGGAGGCCTCTGAGTGAGGTGAACGTTCCCACCAGGGCAGGACCTGGGGCTCCCTGCATGGCCGTGAGCCACTGGACATCACAGATCCGTGAGCATCGGGCTCCACCTTCACCCAGGACGACCGCTCAGCTGCAGTCAGACAGGGAAAGGTGGGGCAACTTCAAGGTTGGGTGTAGATTTAAGAGTTAACAGCACTGAAATGGCTTCATGTCCATGTATGTCTCTTAGGCAAAGCTAAAATGCAGAATTAGAAAATGCAACCTGAAAAATTACAATGATTACTGACTTTATTAAACGATCATTTGCTTTATAAAGTGTTTCATCGCAAGACTGCTTCAATGAAACACTGGAAGTATCACACACATTTGATTTACACATATTGCTTTGGGTGCATCAGTTTGAATAACCCTGCTACCATGTCCTACCATTCACATAGCCTCCACCTTAAGAATATATTGTGCTACCAAAGTTCCCTGGCAATGAGGTGATTCAAATTCTGAATGACTATAGAAAAGGTAATTTGTGGTTATAATGCCCCCCCCAAAAAAGCTGAGATAGTAAAATCTCTCAGCTTACCGGTGTCTACTCCCTTAGAAAGGGTCCCCACTGCACTCTTATTTGTATTATTCCAGCCTTTTGATTTTCTAAAGCAAAGGAGAAAGGTGAGCTCAGAAACACAGGTATTCCGGGGAGCTGTGGCTGAACGTGGGCACAGCACCATGAGAGAGACAGGTAATGTGATGACCCAGAAAGAGAGGCGACCTAGAGGTATGGCCTAGGCTCGACGTTATTAACACACAGACTCTTGGAGCTAATTAGTTCCTTCATCTCTCAAGTAAGTAGTGATTATGTCTCCTAACAGTGCATATATAACTGTAAGATCCCACAGGGTTTGTCACGGGACTCTGTCCTCTGCAATCACTAGGGCGACAGAGCACTAGTGATCAGTATGGCCCACCATGCAGTGGGCAATAGTGAGTGATCAGCTATGGCCCGCCATGCAGCAGGTGACAGTGCACTAGTGATCAGCTATGAGTGATCAGCCTACCACGCAGCGGGCTGTCTGTCTGCAGAGCACTGAGCGTCTGTGATGAAACTCCTTAACTCGGAGAGCGTCTGCATTCCTACACTAAGTGCACTCTATCATGTTAACCTGTATATACTGAGATCATCTCCCACTTCTTCAATGCGATCACTTTTTGGGTTGAATTTTAAACAGATTCTATAGAGCGGATCACACCCTGGCTACTCCCCACCCCACTGCTTCCTCAGGATGCAGGGTTTCCATGGTGCCCGGTCTCAGTGTTGACATCATGAAGAGCACGTCAGCAGGATAGAGCAGCACCTGCTGGCAAGTTTGATGGTCACAGCAGTCACTTCTCTCACTACAGTCCCAGACTTTCTTGAAACTGGTGTGTCAAAGCACCAAGGCAAGCTGCTGGAATCACTGGAAGAGACTGGGAGATTAAACAGCTAAAGCCCTCAGTTTTCACGTGGGGGAGAAAGTCCAAAAAAGATGAAGCCCAGGATGATCCTGCGTTCCTGGCTCTTCTTTCAAAGGTGCGATGCTGAGCAGGCTCCTCTGACAGCCTAAACACAGTTCATTTTCAACAGGCAGCCCAGGAAAAATATTCACCATCCATATTCAAATAAAATAAGGGGAAGCTAATGAAAGACCTAGTTTTGCTCTTGCTTCTCACAAACCTCATACAACAGGATTTCATTCAGGACTCTGGGGAACAGCGGGCTCACCTTTCGCGTTGGTCACATCCTAGACCTGACAGCACGTGTACGGTAACTGTCACGCAACAGCGCACACGCTGTGGATACATATGTGCAGAATTGTTAGTTTACTGGTTTATGTTTTTTCTCTATGAGTAATATAAAAACAAGTTATTAGCTCCATTATTCCACATTATTAATTCTCACACACCATCAGATGTTAGTTTTTAGGAAGTGAGCCTGTCTTTTCAGATGCTTTTCCTCTATTGAGAGCCTCGACATTTCAACATGGCGTGAGCCACACTATGCTCAGTATTGTCAGTCACCGTCCATTTGCCAAGAAGGTGTGAACACAGCACCTAGAATTCACCAAGTGAAGTTTTGCAGGAATGGAAAGCTTGAGCAGAACTTCACCCAGGCACACAGTACAGAATCTTCTGTGCGTGTGGCACACATGATTCTTGGCTTCCTCCATGCACGTGGCACATGATTCTTGGGTTCTTCCGTGCACGTGGCACGTGGCACACACAGTTCTTGGGTTCTTCTGTGGCACAGGTGATTCTTGGGTTCTTCCGTGCACATGGCACGTGGCGGATGGTTCTTGCATGCACGTGGCACACATGGTTCTTGGGTTCTTCTGTGGCACAGGTGATTCTTGGGTTCTTCCGTGCGTGTGGCACGATTCTTAGGTTCTTCTATGCATGTGGCACATGATTCTTGGGTTCTTCCATGCACATGGCACACAATTTTTGTTTTCATCTTTCCAGGGAATGGGTGCCTGCATTTGTGTACTTGGCACAGGGAGTTTCCAGCTGATGCACGTGCCATCAGCATGAGGTCAGGAGGGTCTGTTTCCATCACCAGGCACACATGGACTCACTTGCCAACTGCTCACAAAAACTGTGTCCTTCAGGCACTCAAACAAGAACATGTCTGAGTCGACATTCCTTTATTTCTTGTGACATCAAAGTTGTCACTTTCCACCACAGCCTCTCTCTGACCAGTGCTGGTTGCAGTGCTTGTCTGAGGTATGGCCTTCTTTCTGGGCAGGAGGGAAGTGCCCACTTTCCACGTAGTTTTAAGCGACTTCAATCCCGTGGCCCACAGGCCCTACGCACAGAGGTTTGTTCTTGATCTGCACTATAATTCACGCCCACAGCTCAGACGGGGCCTTTGAAGGTGTAGAAATGTTTCACGTTTGTTTGTTCTTTCCTGTTTGTATCTGAATGTCCAATCATCAGCTCACAGATTTCCAACATGAGTCACAGAAAACA